AGGTGGAGGACCGGGCTGGGCAGAGCCTGGGGACGGAGGGACAGGGCCTGGGGAGGCGGAGAAGGATGCTGGGCAGGGCCCGGGGCGGGCACAGGGCCCGGGAAGGTGCGAGGAAGCTGGTTTTAGAGCCTCAAAGCCTGGGGAGAGGAGACAGGACGGGGGCGGGACCGGGCCACGGCGTGACAGGAGCCAGCGAGGGGCAAGGGAGGACCCCGGGGGGACGGGACAAGGCGAGGGGACAGGGCCGGGGAGAGGTGACAGGGCAAAGGACTCGGTGGGGACAGGGCCCGGGGTGGCTGTGACAGCAGGGTGTCCCCACAGGCCAAGTACCTGGCACAGATCATCCTGGTGGGGGCCCAGGTGGTCGGACGGGCCTTCATGCGGGCGCTGCGCCAGGAGTTTGCAGGTACGAGCCGAGCTGCCGCCCCTGGCCTGGGGTGCTGCTCCCTGCACAGAGCGTGCCCAGGGGTCTGGGCACCACACTGCATCCCCGGCCCTGCCTGGGGCATGGCTGCACCCTGCTTCCCTATCCCTTTCCTCGGGGCACCCCACTGCTCCCTGTCCCCAGGGCCATGCCTGGAGGGGGACGCTTGCCAGGCTTGTCACAGGGTGACAGCACCCACGTCCTGGCACTGGCCTAATGGCGTTTCAGCTCAAACCAGGCTCCCAGCAGCTGTCCCAGGCACCAGCTTGGACCTAGTACCACTGCCAGGCTCTGAGACATCCCCACAGCCCCAAAGGGCAGAGCAGGATGGTCCCCCGGGACATGGCAGCCCCAGGCCTGCCTTGTCTGCCTCTGCCTGCCTGCAACCTGGCTCGCTGAGAGCACTGAGAGCAAACAGGTGCCACTCCATCCGCCCTCCCAGTTCCTGCCACCTCCTCAGCACCAGGGACCTTGTCTGGGTGACCCCCACGGGCTTGAGGCAGCATGAGGAGGGCCGAGGGGTGAAACTGGGATCTGAGCATCTGGGAGCCTGTGGGCTTCGCTGCCTGGCCCCCACCCAAGGCCTGGGGGGTCCCCAGAGGGCAGCGCTGTGGGGACTCATGCCCTCGGTGTCTCTGGGCAGCAAGCCGAGCAGCAGCAGACGCACGAGGGCGCTCAGAGAGGCCCCAGTCCGCCGCTGCCTCCAGGATCATTGGCATCAGCCTCCAGGAAGCTCAGCAGATTCTCAACGTCTCAAACCTCAACCCAGAGGAGATCCAGAAGGTAAAGGCTACCTTGGAGCCAGGGAGAGATGGTGCTGGCAGGGCCTTCCCTGTATATGCTGTCTAGCATGGGGGTGATGCTTAGTCCACGGAGGGAGCGTGGGTGCTGTCCTGTACCCAGTTAATCCCAGTTTGAGGTTTGTCTTCTCTAGCTGGTGGAGTGTGCCAGCCAGTCGTGGGCATTAGCAGCCTTGCCAGGCTTGGTCCCAGTGTTTTCTCAGCCGTGCTGCTCAGGGAAAGGGACATGGGCTCTCTGGAGGTGGTGCCTGACCAGGGGAGTGGGGATCCTCCAGGGGGTCAGACAGAGCCAGCCGTGGCACTGCCACGGGGAGTGGGAGGCTGCTGGGGTTAGGGGCTGGGGAGGGTGGAGACGAATGTGACAGGGAGCTTCTCTTTGGCAGAACTACGACCACTTGTTCAAGGTGAACGACAAGTCAGTGGGAGGTTCCTTCTACCTGCAGTCAAAGGTGAGCAAAGGGAGGTGAGGATGGGGGTCTGCGCTGGCTCTCCACCCTGCCCTCCGCACCTTCTGCCTGGGATTCGGGAGAGGCAGAGCCTGAGCGTCACTGCAGTTGAGGCAGGGAGGGGAGGGGGCAGCCACATCCCCCTGTGTCACCCCATCCCCATGTCCCACAGGTGGTGAGAGCCAAGGAGCGGCTGGACGAGGAGCTCCGCATCCAGGCCAAGGATGAGAAGGAGAAGGGGTGGAAAGTTGAGACGTGACTCCTGCCAGCCCTGCACCCCGTGTCCCTCACCCTTAACTTATAGGTAGCCAATAAATACCATGTCCTTCAGCACCTGGCCTGGCCGCTCTGCATCCCGGGGAGGGAGAGGGGACTTGCCTGCCTCTGCCCACTGCCCCAGAGGGGATCAGCCCCTACAAGGGGCTGGGTTTTGCCCTGGCAAGGAGGAAGAGGGAGGTGGCTGGGGAAGAAGGGGTGTCCCCGAGGCACTGAGGGCTGCCAGGGCTCAAATGGCACCCGAGGAGGCTGTAGGAGCTATTTTCGTGGTGAGTTCAGATGCTTTCGGCCTGAGCGTGCGGATACCTCTGGCTCCGTACCCTGGGAGTGCCGGGAGCTCTGTGCCGTTACCCTTCTCCCACCCTGGGCGGGCAGTCGGGATGGCTTCAGGGTTGGGATGAGGGGCCATGTGGCTTGTCCTGGGGCTTCACCAGTGCCGGGGCTGCCTGAGCGGGAGTGTGGGGACCTGCCGGGGCACTGGGCAGAGCCAGCTGTGCCCCTGTCATCGTGCCCTTCACCTCCAGCACCCCTCTGCCCCCACCATGGGCTCCTCGGCACCATCACCACGGTCATGAACTGAAACAGGAACTTACTTCAACTTCACTTTATTGTTTTCTTAATAAACTTCCTCTCCCCTGGAGGAATATAGTGTTATAGTCGTTAGCTTATCTCTTACTTCTGCAGTCCTTAAACGCTATGCTAACAGCGATGGAGCCCAACAGGAGGAAAATAAAAACAACCCAGAAACTACGATAGAAAGGCACTTCGAAACCGTTAAAATACTGATGTCCTGGAATGTGCAACAACAAACCGACAAAGGAGCAAGGAGACGTACACCGTACACCGGCCGGGGCGGCCTGGTCGATGGCCCGCGGCCATGCTGGGGCTGTGGCAGAGCTGGGCAGCTGCCGCGCCCCGGCCCCAGGAGGGTGAGGGCAGGGAGACCGGCTCCCCGCGGGGCGCGTGTGGCCGGGGCTCCTTCCAGTGGGGAGGGGGCAGGATGGGGAGACACCCCCACACACACCGGTTCAGAGAAAGCCATGGGCAGGGGTCCTGCCCGGCAGCAGGAGGTACACGGGACCCCCAACCTGTGCCGGGG